TAAAGTCTTGGCTTTCATTTCGCTGAACTTTTCAAGGAAATATATTTAGGTTTTCGTTATTAGAGTCTAAAGTTAGGCTTTTATATGCTGAAAAGATATGTGTTCTTTCTTCTTGCTTAGCAGTTGGAAACAAAGTTGCTTTCTTTTGTTTGTTTCCTGCAAGTTTTTGAACTGCTGCTGTTGTTGGTGCTGCTGGTGAGCTTGCTGTTATCGGACAATGCCGTCGTCCTTGCTCCTCGAGGAGGTAATCTCTTCTCAGGGAAGTTGTTGCTAGATTGTTTCACAGATTTTTCAGTGAGTCGCCTGAGAAGATGTGAATGATGAAGGTGAAGAAGAAGAAGCTACAGTTGAGGAAAGTTTGAAAAAAAATAAAAAATCATAAGACAAGTGCTAAGGGGGTAGCTGGCACCGGTAATTCAAAACTTTTTTTTGGTTTTCTCCAGCTCGGCAAGATTGATGATGTGCTCGGGATTTCACTGCGTTTTCCCACTTTTTTCAATAAGAGATTTCCTCTGCTCATTTTTTCTCATCTTCAGCTGTGTCTTCCTTTATTGCACTGATGTTTGTCAAGTTTTGTGTTGTGTTCAGCTCTGAAATCTTCTGCCTCTTCAAATTAAAGAGAGGGCTCTTGAAGTGTTTGCTGAAACAAAGAGCAAGTGGAAAAGTACTGTACAGAAACGTCTTCATTGTCTTGTATCGTTACGTCAGTGTGAGAATGTGGAGGAGGCAAACAGACAGGCGAAAATTCCAAGGCAACTCTGCTGTTTCTGTTGTTGTACTGTTTTTTATCGCCCCCGTTATCTGTTGATACTCATCGGCTGACCAGAAAAAAACCGAACGATGAAGGCTAGATACTGAAAAATTTTTTTTTGGAGAAACCAAATCGAAATAAGTTAGCGGACTTGATGACTGTCTTTCTGCTTACCTCATTTCGTAAGCAACTATATTTTTGTTTCGCTACTCCGAACTAACCCCTCTTCAAGTCTTTGTCGTTGCTTCAAACTGTTATGTCACTGTGAGCAGCAGCTAATCATCAGTCAATTGTCACCGGTGGACTCACCACCACCACCACCACATTATCACCTGGACGACCTTGTAGTGCTTTGAGCACCAAAAAGAGAGAGCGAGAGAGCCCATCTTCAACCGACGAGTTGTTGATGTGTGCGTTAATTGAGGAAACTGCTGCACCTGTGTCTTTTCTTAGTTGTTGACTTGTGTCTCTGTATTCCTCTATTTTGGCCTCTCCTCTTCTTCCCTCGTACATCATCGATGAACCTTTTTGATTAGGTTGCTGCTGCCTGCACTGTCTCCTCTTTCCTCTTCTCCTCTTGTCTTTGCAGCAGCAGCAGCAGCAGCAGCAGTGTCGATAGAACTCAGACAGTGCGAAAGACAGCGAGAGATTAGCATCATCATCAGCAGCATTGCGCCAGCAGGAGCATCGTCGCCAGCGATGCGTGCCCAACACTCACACATTCACTCACATTAACTCACAGGCCAAGTTTGACGGCCACCAAGTTTTGGCGGCAGCAGCAGCAGCAGACGACTACCCAAACACAGTGACTGACTGACTAGCTGGCGTCTCTGGTGATCATACCAGTGATCATACACCAGCAGTGTTTCCAGTGGGTATATAAACACACTTCTCATTAGGTGCAACCTCCATTCGATCATCATCATTGTCTCCTGCTCTCTTCCTTTCCCTTCGATTTTGTCGGTGTCAACAATTTTGTTGCTCTGCCATTGTTCCTGTTTTCTCTTCTCTCTCTCTCTCTCGCCTGAAGCTTCTGGTGCTTTCTGGTTCTAGTGTAGTGCACTGTTTCTCGCTTTGATCTTTCTCCTTCTTCGGTGAGTGTTTTTTGTTGTTTTTGACAACTTGTCAGCGACCTTTGATCTTCTAAATGTTCTAAATGGCTGTTTTTCCTCTAGATCTTCTTCCCACCTCCTCTCTCACCATGTCCGCCGACGCCATCGCCCGCCTTCGAGCCCAATTCGAGGCTGAACTGAAGAGCAACGGCGACCTCTACCACCCCATCGACATTGAAAGGGTCCGCACCGAGGACTGGCAGGTGAAACGCTTCCTGCTGGATCAGGCGGACGGCAACGAGGACGCCGCCTTCCAGGCGCTCATCAAGGCCCTCCAGTGGAAGAAGTCCTTTGGCGTGCACGACCGCACCGACCAGTACTTCCCGAAGGAGGTCTGGGAGCAGAATGCGGTGGAGATCTACGGCAAGGACAAACAGGGCCGGGTGATTCAGTGGGAGGCGGTGAGGAATCAGGTACGGTGTTCTCTTTTCATCGATCTTTTTTTCCCTCTTTTTCTAACCTTGAACCTTTGTTGTTTATCTTCTTTCTTTCTTTCTCCCCTTTCAGCGAGTCTGGAAGGAGACGACCCTGCTGGCGAAGCACTTCGTCGCCCACTGCATCGAACGGGTGGACCGGGCCGCCGGCGAGACCGGCTTCATCCTCATCACCGACAGCAACGGCGGCGGCCTCGCCAACGTCGACATGGACATCATGAAGTTCAAGATCGCCACCATCGACCTCTACCCGCAGGCGCTGAAGGGCCTGTACGTGGTGGACCTTCCCTGGCTGCTGAACGCCATCATGAAGATGATCGTCGCGCTGATGAGCGAGAAGCTGCGCTCCGTGGTCCACTACGTCAAGGGCCCCGAGCTGGCGGAGGTAATGGACGAGCAGTTCATTCCGGTGGAGCTGAAGGGCGGGCGGGACAAGCACGCCTTTCCCGCCGACCTGCAGTCCTTTGAGGCACGCGGGCCGGCGCTGGGCCTCGATGAGAAGACGGTGGACACCTTCTACAAGACGATGAAGCTGCCCCGGCCGGGTAAAGCCTAGGCCTAGGTGCTAGTCATTCAGCCATCCATTCCTTCCTGCTCTGTACAAAAGATGTGTGTTTGTATTCTTCTTATTCTTATTCTGGTGCATGGCTTGGCTTCTATTTATTTTCTTCTTCTACGCTCAATCTTATTCCCCCTCTTTTACCCCGCCTGCTTTTCTATTCCTTTTATTCCCAATCATGTGATGCAATAAAATAAAATGGAAAAATTTCCCATCAGTTTTGAGTTCCGCTTTTTCGATTTTGAACATCGATTGTGGGCATCGCCGCCTGCTGACGACTGACATCGATGGCAGTACAATCGTCTGCTGCAGCTGTTGATTTTTTTCGCTGTCGGATTTTGTGTTGTTTTGATTTTTTTTTGATTTTCTGTCGCCGGGCTGGCCACTGCTGGTGTTGACGTGGATTCTTTCTTTTGTGGATCACCTTTTGTAGTGCACTAAAGACACGTCAAAGAGGGAAACTACCATTTTTAACGGACTCTGAACTACAGCAGCAAGGATCTTCAAGAAGAAGACTGTCGTTTTTGTTTGCTTGTGTTTTTATCTTCTCTTGTGCCACGTTCTGGTTTGTCAACAGAAGTCGAAATAAACGTTTACCACTGTTCTTGGCATCTTTATCTCTGGACAAGGTATGTTTTTGTGTTGGCTTGTTTTACGATTACTGTAATTTACTTGTATCGAGTTTAGCTGTTTGTTGATTGATTTGCTGCTGTTGTTTTGACATGTGGCAAAACGCTTTCCAGTGTAGTGTGATTCGCTGTCAAAAGGTGTCGCTAGCTGTCATTTGTCGATTTTTCAAAAAACAGATCAAAGTTTTTGTCAATTTTGACATTGACTTTGTTGCTCTGCTAACAAACACACATCTTTGATGATAATTATCTACTTTCTAAAGGCGCAATTTAAATTAGTCTAATCTTTTATTTATGATAGTTGCAGGCAAAATACTTTGCACTTTACCATCCAGTACAGTGGATTTTTTATTTGCAACTTCCTTAATTCTTTCCTTCTTTCAATGGCCTTCGCTCTTTCACGCAGCTCCTTGATAAAGCTTTCTTTCTTTTATTAGAGTTTGTTTGATTATCACAGAAACACTTTAGCGACAACTAGTATTACATTTCAATCGACAGTGGTGTGATAGTGAAGTGTGCAAGGGCAGGAGGCGTATTTCACTTTTCGTTATCAACAACTTTGCTGCCTGTCAAACAGAGCAAAACAAGCTGTTTCGAAATTCAAAAGTGCGCAACAAAGTCATCATCATCATCATCATTCAAACGCACACGTTTCTATTTACACTTTGCTAAGCTAAGTCTCCTCAACATCTTTGATCATGTTCAGGACCCTCTCATCGAACTGCAGCTCCTCGAGGCGCTCCCGCAGCGGCACCAGCCCCGGCGGGTAGTAGTCCTTGGTCCGCTGGCCCTTGAGCGCCTGGGGAATGTACTGCCCCTCGACAATGGCCGCCAGCTCCTCGATGCTGATAAAGTGCACCAGCGCCTTGAGGCGGGCCGGCGTCAGCGCCATCACTAGCTTCATGATGGAGTTGAGGATCCAGGGAAGGTTGACGCAGTAGACCGCCCGCGGGCCCATCGGGTAGTGCTCCAGAATGTCAATGGTGAAGCGGGCGTTCTCGAGGTCGACGTTGGCGAGGCTGCCGCCGGCCGCGTCGGAGACGATGATGAACCCCTGCTCGCCGGCCATCGCGTCCACCCGCTCGTTGATGTGGGCAATGTACTGCAGGGTCAGCTGGCGGACGCGGGGCTGCTTGAACTTCACCAGCCGGCGGATGGCGCCCCAGTGCACCAGGCGACCGAGGTGATCTCGCCCCACAATCTGCGCCCCCGACATCAGCCACCACTCCCGGGGGAAGTAGGCGTCGGTGCGGTCGTGCACGCCGAAGCTCTTCTTCCACTGAAGAGCCTTCAGAAGGGCCTGGAAGGCGGCCTGCTCGCTTTCAGGGTGGTAGAGGAGGAACCGTTTCACCTGCCAGTCCTCGGTGCGGACGCGGTCAATGTCCACGGGGTGGTAGAGGGAGGGGTTTTTAGTGAGTTCAACTTCAAAGAGGGCGCGAAGACGGGCGATGGCTTCGGTTAGGTTAGGCTGCTCCGGCTCGGTGTTGCCGTTTTGTTTGGCCATTTTGGTGGTTGGAAGTTTGAGGTGGCTATTGTGGTGGTGATGATTCGACACACGAGAACTCTGACAGCTGAATGCTGATGATGATGTGTGATGAGAGACTGTGATTGTGGTGGTGGTGGTGGTGGTCAGTGGTTGCTTCTTTGCACAAAAACACACACTCGATCCTTGAATGGTGAATGGGTTTTTAGTGAGGATGGGAGGAGGTATGTGCAACACTCTTCTGCTGCTGCTTCTGCAACAGACGATGCAATGAATGAGTACTGTTTTGCTGTGTTTACTCTGTACAGCAGTTCTAACACTTGCTGCTGCTGCTGCTGCTAAAGTGATGACTTCTTCTTTCACTGTGTATGATTTCTGCTGCTTTTTGTGCACTGGCGTCTTCTTCTTGAGCTTCTATCTGCGCCTAACGAGTACTCCTCCTCCTCCTCCTTTTCTCCTTCTAAATGAGCCTACCCCACAGGATTGAGTGGCCGTTTCTTGAGCTTTGGAGTCTGCAATCGGTTAGTGTGGCTGATAGAGGAGGAGGAGGAGGAAGAGGAGGAGGA